TCCCTCGCTGTCCCCTGCCCTGTCCTGCTCCGTGTCCCCCTGGCCACAGCCCAGCCCGTACCACGAAGTGCCCTTTGGAGCGCCCTCCCTGCCCAGCCCCGTGCGTGTCGATGCCCACATTCCCCGGGCACTGCCAGCTGGAAATGGTTATCTCGGCCCTGCCTGGGCTGCTGAGGAGCCGTGGCCAGCACTGGGGGCTGTGGGGGCTGCAGACACGTCCCCAAATGTCCCCCTTGCTGGGTGGGTGTGACAGGGAGTGCAGAACCATCCCGGGACAGCTCTGCTCCATCCCTGTGCCTCGTCCCTCTGTCCCCTCGCTGCTGGCACCGGGCTGGGGCTGCTCTCTCTCCGTGTCGCCTCCCGCTGCTCACCCCTGTCCCTTGTCATCCCTTGTCACCTCCCCGCGCTGCCGGAGCCGTTTGTGCCCCTCCCACGGCCCTGCTGGATTGCTGGAAGCTCTCCAGGAAGGAAGCTCCGTTTCCTTTGGGTGTCCCAGCAGGAACTGTCACCTCTGGGGGATGTCGTGGGGCCCCCTGCCCGGCACAAACACTTCCTGCTGCGCTGGTTGTTTTTCCCGAGTTCAGTGGCCTTGGAGTGTGTGGCTGGGGACACAGAGCCTTCCTCTCCACCGAGGAGGAGGAGGAGGCAGCTTTGGGCTGCAGCAGAGCACTGGATCCTGTCCCACCTCCCGAGGGGCCGGGTGGGCAGCTGGGGGACCCTGGAGGTTTGTGCCTGGCTGTCCCTGCAGCCCTGGGGCTCCAGACCTGCCCCTGTCCCTTCCCTGGGCTGTCTCTCTGTGGTTTCATTGGTGGTTTTTTTTTTTAAGCTTGTCTTATTTGCCTTCTTTTCGCCCAAACCGTGTCCACGCCCTTCTGTGGGTTTAAATAAACAATCTCTGAACAGCCCCGTGTGTGTTGGGGGGTGGGTGCACACGGGGTCTGTGGTCCCCCTGTCTGATCCCCTGTCCTGAGACAGGACCTGGTGCCAGGGGCTGCCCTGGAGCTGAGGGGGAGCAGGGAGGGACTGCCCTTGTTCCCAGAGCCTCTGCCCATCCAGGAGCAGGGAAGTGCCTCGGGGTGCCCATCTGGGGATTCTGGAGGGCGAGGACAGCCCCCTTCCCTCCCTGCAGGGACCTGTCCCTTTTGTGTGGCCAAACAGGGGGATCAGGGTGAGCAGGAGCTCGGAGCTGCTGCAGCCCAGCTCCCTTCCCCTTCAGGCTGGGCCAGCCCAGCTCCCTGCACCCTTCCCAGCCCTTTTGGGGACAATCTGGGACGCCGAGGGGAGACCCGGGTTTGTCACCGCACCGAGGTGGCACCACAGCCATGCTGCCATCAGCACCTGCCCACAGCAGCCTCGCTGGCAGGGACGGGGCTGAGGGTGCAGCCTTCCCTTCCCTTCCCTTCCCTTCCCTTCCCTTCCCTTCCCTTCCCTTCTTCCATCCCTTCCCTGCTGTTCCTGTCCCTTCCCCGTCCCTTCCCATGCCCATCTCTCCCTGCCCTGTGCCCGGCTGGCAGGCGGGCGCTGTGCCTCAGCCAAATCCCGAATGCCACAGGAAGATGATGGCTCCCCTTCTCCTCCTGCCTGTTCTGCCGCCTCCGCTCCCCAGACGGGCTGTTCCTGAATGCCAGAGGAAATTGCTAAGGAGATAATTAAGTAGCCAATTAATTAGCTAATGATTAATGGAAGCATCCTGCGGAGGCAGCTCCGCAGCCGCCCTGGCCAGGTGCTGCGGGGATGTGTCACTCCCGGT